CTACTACTACTACTACTACTACTACTACTACTACTAGTACTACTACTACTACTACTACTACTACTACTACTACTATTACTACTACTACTACTACTGCTACTACTACTCTTAAGAAATTCTACTACTACTACTACTACTACGACTACTACTACTACTACTACTACTACTACTACAACTACTACTACTACTACTACTACTACTACTACTACTACTACTACTACCACTACCACTACTACTACTACTACTACTACTACTACTACTACTACTACTACTACTACTACTACTGCTACTACTACTTCTTGCCACACTTTGTTTGCGCGGAAACGCATTCCCTTAAGGGTTGCGATTCTTTCCAAATCTAACCTGAGATACCTTTACATCATTTTTCATTGAACGTCCAGTGCGGGCCACAATAACTCCCATCTGGCCGCGCGACGGGCCACACTAACACCCAATGGGCCACACTAACACCCAACGGGCCACAGTAACAACGGGTCGCCCGGGAAGCCGGGAGGCGCGGTACCGGCCAGATGTCAGGGGATGTGTAGGACCCCCGAGTAGGAGGTCCACCCTTAAAACAGAAATAAATGTTTGGAATTAAATTTTGTTTCAATATCCTCGATCTTCGAAGGTTGGAAGCGGGTAAACGTGAGAAGGCTAATTACTCCGACGGAAGGACCCCACATGAGAATCCTCTGGGCGAATCCGGAAAAAGCGCTCACCGTCGTCCTCGTGGTTGGTGAGGCGTCCTGACTGTCTCTTCTGCGTATATTTCTTCTCGCCCTGGCGCGGGCCCTCCCCCCGCTTCCTACGTTGCCCCCGACCTCGCCCTCTAATGGCGCGTTGCCTCGCGCGTTCTCTAATGGCCACGTCGCGCAGCCGTTGGGACAACCCCGCGGGCCAGGCTGTCGGGACAACCCCGCGAGCCGCTTGCGCGCAAGACCAAGCCGTTGGGACAACCCCGCGGGCTTGGAGCGGGGCGCAGCCGCGCTCAGGCGGGCAGCACGAAGCCCAGCTCTGCCGCGAGCTGCTTCGCCTCCGCCGTGGACAAGCAAGCCCATGACAGCCATATTCAGGCCGCGGGGACCTAAAAGTGACGACAGGCATACGAATTCCGAGGACCCTCCTCGGATTCGAAATTCACAAATGTGGCCCGGGAATGACGCTCTGGGAACACGACGAACACAAAGTGGCCTACAGTTGGCTCCGGACATCCAGAATGTGGCCCGGGAATGGTGTTCTGGGAACAGGAAGAACACGAAGTGGCCTACAGTTGGCTCCGGGGTTTCAAAATGTGGCCCGGGAATGGTGTTCTGGGAACACGAAGAACACGAAGTGGCCTACAGTTGGCTCCGGGCATGCACAATGTGGCCCGGGAATGACGTTCTGGCAGCGCGAGAACCCAAAAGTGACGACAGTTATAAGGTTTGGATGACCCGCTCGGATTACCAACATGATCTGCGGGCCCCATAGGGAGGGGGCTCCCGCCTGAGACTTCCTCACAATTCACTCACAGACGAGGCTCCCGCCTGAGACTTCCTCCGTACTCAAGCTTGAGGAGCCCAAAAGTGACGACAGTTACAGGGTTTGGATGACCCGCTCGGATTACCAACATGATCTGCGGGCCCCATAGGGAGGGGGCTCCCGCCTGAGACTTCCTCACAATTCACTCACAGACGAACTCCCGCCTGAGACTTCCTCCAGGTGAGTATGTGAATGAGTGAGCGTGTGACAGAGTGCGAGTGATGATGATGATGATGATGATGATGATGATGATGATGATGATGATGAGTGATGTGAGATGACTGAGCGTGTGAGAGAGCGCGAGTGATGATGCTGATGTTGATGATGAGAGAGTGTTAGTGAGTCTGAGTGTGAGTGAGTGGTGATGATGATGAGTGAGTGAGTGAGTGAGTGAGTGTGCGAAGGCAGAAGAGGAGAGGGGGTGGGGTGAGTGTTCCTGCGCGGGGTGTGCAGAGAAAACAAGAACCCCACTTTGGATGTGGGGAAAAAACATTGGAAAAACCATTGGGAATCAACGATTTTACCCTCTTTAGGCTCTCTCGGGAAGGCTCTCGCAGCTCTCTTGGGCTGTTCTTGGAGCCTCGTCGGGGTCTTTTGGGGGCCTTTCAGGGATCGGGGGTGTTGAGGGCCTCTGGGGGGTCCCGGAGGCCTCTCGGAGGTCTCTGGAAGCCTCCTGCTCCCGCTCTTGGGCCCATCTAAGGCCTGTTCTGGGGTTGTCTGGGGCTGTCCTGGGCGCCTCTTCGGCAATCTTGGAGCCTTCTTGGCCCGTCTTGGGGCCGTCCTGAGGGTCTCTTGGGTGGTCTTGGTGCGGTCTTGGGCGGCTCTTCGGCGCTCTTGGACCATTGGAAGCTCGAAAACGCGAGAAGGCCAAAAACATTAAACAAACAATGAAAATCTACGATTTGGGCCTCTTCGGGCCGTCCCGAGACGCCTCTCGGACCTCTCTTGGGGTCTCTTGGAGGCAACCTGGGAGCCTCGAGAGCCGTCTCACGTCGGAAGGCTGACGTGGGCTGCTTGGGAGCGTCTTGGACCATCCTTTCGCATTCTGGGGGCTCCTGGGAGGCGTCTTGGGCCCTCCTGGGGCGCTGTGGAGGCTCCCCTGATAGGCCTGGGGAGCAAAACCGGAAGCGTCCCCGAGATGTCACGGGGAGGTGTGGGACCCGGGGGCCGGGGGGGGGCCGAAGTTATCTATGTATTTGTTTGTTCATGTATTCATTAACTGATTCATGTATATGTGTATCTATGTAGTATCGTTATATATATAAATATGTATGTGTATATGTATATGTATATGTATATGTATATGTATATGTATATGTATATGTATATGTATATGTATATGTATATGTATATGTATATGTATATGTATATGTATATGTATATGTATATGTATATGTATATGTATATGTATATGTATATGTATATGTATATGTATATGTATATGTATATGTATATGTATATGTATGCAGGTGTGTATGCAGGTGTGTACAAACACGTGCGCGTGTGGCACGACACACAACACCAAACAACACAGGCGGACAAACACGGAGCGCTGCACAGGCCCGCGGAGGCCAGCCCGCAGGGGAGCGGCGCGCGGCCGAGAGCGCCGCGGCCGCCGCGCCTGCACGCCGCACGGGCCGCACCCGAACACGCTCCAGAAGGAGTAGCGCTCCTCCGCCGTGGTGCGCAGCTCGCTCTCGCCGTGGGCGAGGCAGCAGGCATCCTCCGTCGGGGGGGGGGGGGGGGCGAGGGGAGCTGCCTCCGAGCAGGAGGGGGGAGGAGGAGAAGGGGGGGGGGGGGGGGAGAGGGGGCAGGGGAAGGGGGGGGTCGCGGAGGAGGAGGAGGAGGAGGAGGAGGAGGAGAGGAGGAGGGCAAGGGGGGGGGGCTGATTAGGAGGAGGAGGAGGAGGAGGAGAGGAGGAGGAGGAAGAGGAGGAGAGGAGGAGGAGGAGGAGGAGGAGAGGAGCAAGGGGGGGGGCTGATTAGGAGGAGGAGGAGGAGGAGGAGGAAGAGGAGGAGGAGGAAGAGGAGGAGGAGGAGAAGGAGGAGCGACACTGGCCAGCCAGGGGGGGGTGGGGCGAGCGGGCCAGAAGCAGACGCAACGGAACAGGGCAGCGTCCGACCAACCCAGAATAGCAGGCCAGGAGAGGCAGGAGAAGAGAAGGCCGATAGCTAAGCGATGGCAGATGAAGCAGTGGCGAGGAGTAGGAGAATGACGCAGTCCAACACGAAGAGAGGTGATTCCCATGCTCCCCTACCCCTGCCCCTCTCCCTCCTGCTCCCCGTCCCTGGTCCCCTCCTCTGGACAATCGAATTAAAATACATACCTCCTTGTATATCTACATCCCTGCTCACGCCCCAACCCCACGAGGGACAAGGGTGGGGGACATGGATACAAGGCCGACCTCAGAACCGAATCTTTATCCATCTCCTGCCCCTCGGTGCCCAGAGTGGGAGGCGGCAGCAGTATGGATGAAGCACCGACCACTCATCCTCCTCGTCGTCCTCCTGCGGGCCCACGCCTTGGGCGTATACGTATGGTTTCCGACTCCCGCCGCCCTCTAGTGAACCTTCTGCAGGGCGGGCGGACCGATGCACGTCGATCCGACCGGGCCCTCACGATCGTGCGCAGGAGGAGAGCTCAAACAATCAAGGGAAGGCCAGACCAAAGCTGCTGGTTCCCACGACGGCGAACGCTACAAGGATTTGCTATCATCTTCAGAACCATAGCCATCGCGCGCGAATCGCGCTCTAAGGCTACATGACGGGGACGGGCAAAACACTATCTTGTAAGCGTCTGGGGACCCCTGGGGGGGTTCTCAGAAAGTTCTTCTTTAGGGCCTTCTGGAAGCGTCCTGAATGGCAAATGGGGAGCTGTCCGGGGCACGTTCGGAAGCCCGTTGGGCCTCCCAGACGCCTCCTGAGAGTCGGAGAGGTCTGCCTGGGCAAGACGACGAATACGAAATGACGACGTCTGCAGGAGGAGGCAGCAGCAGCAGCAGGAGGACGGCGACGACAACTACGAGGACTTGTTGGCTGCCTGGGGACCTCCATGAGCTGTGATGAGATGGCTCGGGCTTGTCTTGGGATGATGCTGGGTTTGCCAAGGGCTACATATGCGTAGCCCTCTTGAGTCACTCTGAGAGCACCGCTGGACTTTCGGGCCACTCCAAAAACACCACTAGACCTACCACAGGCTGAAAATCGCCGAGCAGAAAAACAACAAACAAAATGTGATGTCCGCGCGTGGACACCAAGCAGCTGATTATTGGAGCAGCGTGTGTCTGCGAACCCTGCGGACGCCGCACAACTCGTGAAGACCTTCATGGCCTGAGCGTGCCTTCTTTGCCCTTCTCCTCCCCTCCAGCGGCCACCCCCGTCCCCCTTGCCCGCTTCGAATGTACCAATCCGCCTCTTCGCGTCCCGCTTAGGCCCCGACCGCGCCGTGCGTGCGCCGGCGCCGCGACAGAAGAGTGTGTGCGAGGCCACAGGAAGCCAAGGCATGGGGGCCACAGGATGCCCAGGCCAGGCGCGCTCGCCGGCGCCGCAACAGGAGGAGGCAAGGCAGCCACGGGAGGCCAAGGGAGCCCGAGCAGCCACCACGGAAGAGGTGCGGCACGCAGGCCGCGCGGGGCGGGAGGCCGCAGGGAGACCACAGAGGGACGAGCCGCGGGAGGCCACAACGAGGCCGAGCAGCCAGAGCGTGCGGCACGCAGGCCCAGTGAGGCAGGCGTTGGAGACAAAGCCACAGGATCGGGGGTTGCCAGAGGCCTAAGGTGTCCTGAGCCTTTCGCGCCACTTTGAAGCCCCATGGGGCCCTCTGGACCGCGTGAGGGGTGGTCCGAGGCCATCTGCGCCTACTCGGGAAGCCTGGGGACGCCTTGGCTCAGGGACGCAGGTGGCAACACCCGAGGAGAGGCCATGGGAGGTCCAGCGGCCACCGGAAACCTTGCGACGTACAGGGGGCGCCTCCTGACAGCGCAGGCAAGAGACCCTGAGTGCAAGAACCGGTTGGAACCAAAAAAAACCTGGCGCTTGCCAATGACTTCTGCCCCCCTGGAAAGTTTCTGGAACACCTGTTGGTGCTCGTTCTGCATCTTTTGCGATGAACTCTAGATTTATCAGGACGCCACCCTGTCAATCAGAGTATCTCCAAGGGCTACATATCTTGAAGAGCTCGTACAGCGAGCACATATGCTATCGGGGGCACTGCTACATATCTGCCTGGCAAACTGTCACTTCGGAGCCGCTCTGTAACACACTTGCTCGCCAGACGTCCGCGGCGCGGCAACAGGCACTTTAAATAGATAGCAGCACGACCTGTCGAACGAATAAATCTGCACCCCGACGTCACAAAAGTGCAGTCATACTTGCTGTGGGACTCTTTCCGTAACCAACATGGCCACCATGGCCTGGTCCTGGTACTCACCGTGCTCCCGTGATCCGAGCTGGATCAGGTGTAAGTGCGCGAAGAGCCTGGAGACACCAGCCGCGAGTAAGATGAGCACCACGTAAAAGAGAGGCCGCAGAGGCCATTGCATCAGAGGGCCGTATGGGAACTGAACAGTACCATCGCTGTTTTGTGACGCGTACCATCTTACAACTGTCTCAGAGAAGAGTATCCAAAGCGTGATGAAAACAAACGAGGGCCAAGGTTGCCTCCATATCCCTTTCGAGACTGGGATATGCGTAATGGAGCTAGCTTGGTATATCTGTAGGCAAGCCACGAGCAAGTGGCACCACATATTCCACCACACACCAAGGGCATTATACGCGGCAGGTCCAACACAATTCCATAAGTTGTTCCGTATTGGAACATCCTTGCGCATATGAAAAGGCATCCCTAGAGGCAAGCCTAGGGTCACTATCGACGACATGACTAGGCACAGGCTTTGTAACCCACTGTTGGGCATCTTCAACTGCATTCCAGCAGCCAAAGCGTCAACACTCTGGAAGAAACACAAATCCATGGTCCAGCCAGTGAGAAACTTCCAGCGCCCGAATATTCGCTTCAAGTGGTTGTTTGGCAATGGCATCGGGTCAAAATCATGCAATCGCATATCGTAGTACCAACTGTAGCTGGACAAATCCCACACCATCCAACAAGTCTGCGAGCACACAAACATACACACGAATGCCAGGCGCACAGGCCCCGCGGCGATCTCGCCCATTGCGCGATGAGGATAAGCTCACCACGAGCACTGCCAGGCATTCGAAACCGCCTGCATGCGCGCTTCGGGTGCGAGCCAACGCTGTTTGAGCCAAAATGGCTACGGAAAGAAAGCTTCTAGTCATCGAGATGGCAATTTTCTGGGCCCTCGTTGGCCATCTTGGACCCCTCCAGGTGATCTCTCGGCTTGCCCTGGGATCTCATCAAGCTGTCTCTGGCCAGCTTTGAGTCATCTTTGGACGATATCGAGGGTAACTTGGCTTGTAGTCTTCCTTGGCCCATTTGGCCCACTCCCAGAGTACCAATAAACCCAGCTTTGGCCGAATTCGCGCGCGCTCAATTTGCAGCTAGCTTGGCGTCTCGCGCACGGCGCAGCGGAACGCACCGGCCCTGAACCATGGGAACGGCAGGCTTCGAAGCCAGTGCGGCCGTGACAGGAGGCGCGATTAGAACTTGCTCGCAACACTGTCAGGGGTGCGTTTAGGGGCAGGCTCGCCGAAGAGCACGAGAATAATCGCGAGGAGGGCAAGGAAGAAGAAGAGGAGGATGACAACTCGCCATGCAATCGTGCACGGGGCATCATACTGGGTGCCTTACTGGGGAACGGGTGGGTCTGGGGCTCTCCTTGGGCGGGGGGTCCCGGGGGAAACCCGGGGACGGCCATGGGGCCGTCCAGGTCGGTACGCCATCTGCACATGTCTCTGGGGCCTCTCCGGCTCGCCTGCCTTTCGGTCGGTCGCGGGTGCCGTGCTGGGCCGGGCCATGTGGCCGTGTGGCGGTGCGGTGCCACGCAGTGCGGGGCAAGATAGCGGCATCTCGTGCTTCGATGGCCCGCGCGTGCCGCGTGGGGGGCCAAGACGGCAGCCGACTCGGAGGCCGTGGTCTCGGCAAGCTCGAGGCGCCGTGCCGCGGTGCCCTGCGGTGCCGTGCCGTGCCGTGGTGCCATGCCACGATGCCCTGCGGTGCCTTGCCATGGTGCCGTGCCGCGGTGCCGCGCCGAGCCCGCGGTGCCGCGCCGTGGTGCCGCGCCGGGGTGCCGTGCTGCGCCGTGCCGTGGTCCCGTGCGGCGGCCGCGCCGTGGTCCAAGATGGCAGAGCCGCGACGAAGGGAGGAAGCACAAGACAAGGGGCAGGTGCGCGTCCCTCTCTCCCTCTCCCTCTCTCTCTTTCTCACCCTCTCTCTATTCTCACCCTCTCTCTCTCTCTCTCTCTCTCTACTCTCTACTCTCACACTCTATCTACTCTTACCTCCCTCTCTCTCTCTCTCTCTCTACTCTCACCCTCTCTCTCTCTCTTTCTTTATTTATCTCTCTATCTATCTATCTATCTCTCCATCTCTCTCTCTCGCTCTCTCGCTCTCTCTCTCTCTCTCTCTCGCTCGCTCGCTCTCTCTCTCTCTCTCTCTCTACTCTCACCCACTCCTTACTCTCACCCTCCCTCTCTACTCTCACCCTCTCTCTCTCTCTCTTTTTCTCTCTACTCTCACTATCTCTGTCTCTCTCTCTCTCTCTCTCTCTCCCTCGCTTCATATGATTACGCATCCCTCCCCAAACCTGCCTGTCCTTCTCTGTCTCATCACCACTCTCATCACCAAGATTGGAGCATACCTGCGCTAGTACTGTGATTAGCACCGCCATGAGAGGGAAGGAGCGACGGTGGATACAGAAGAACGGGAGACAGGCGCATTGAGCGGAGTCGACTGGGGCAAAGAAAAGACTCTCCCTTCGTGTGCCTCGCTTCGGACTTGTTGGTCCCAACCAACCTTTTCTGGGGGTCCTCGTTTTGAAGAGACAGCGCCCAGCATTTCCTTCCCACCCGCTGCCCCCTGCTCCCCATCCTCCCGCCTCTGCCCCTTCCCTTCCGCACCCAGTACAGCGCTTCGTGGCCCCATAGGGAGCTCCACCGAAGGCCCCCGTGGCTGCGACCACACGCGTCCGCGCCACCCAGTGCGTACAGCGCTGCGTGGCCCCATAGGGAGCTCCACCGAAGTCCCCCGTGGCTGTGACCACATGCGTCCGCGCACGAAGATACAGCGCTGCGTGGCCCCATAAGGAGCTCCACCGAACGACCCAGTGGCTGTGACCACATTCATCCGCGCACGAGAGTGAAGTGCTTCATGGCCCCATAGGAAGCTCCACCGAAAACCCCGTGGCTGTGACCACATGCGTCCGCGCAGGAGGAATACACCGAAGGCCCCCGTGGATGTGACCACATGCGTCCGCGCACGAGAATACAACGCTTTGTGGCCGCACAGGGAGCTCCACCAAAGGCCCCGTGGCTGCGACCACATGCGCCCGCGCACGAGAATGCACGTTTCACGGCCGCCCAGGGAGCTCCACCGAAGGCTCCAGTGGCTGTGACCACCTGCGTCCGCGCCCCCACTCGCTCCCAGGCGCTCCCATGTGCTCTCAAGCGCTTCCCCGGCGGCGCCCCAGGCAAGGCGCTCCTGAGCGTCCCCAGGCGCTCCCAGGCGCCCTCTTGCGCTCTCAGGCGCCCCCAAGTGCTCGCTGGCAGCTGCTCCCAGGCGGTCCCCAGGCGTTCCCACGCGCAAGCGCTTCCCCGGCGCTCCCAGGCGCTCTCAGCGCTCCCAGGCTCTCGCAGGCGCCCCCAGGCGCGCCCACCTGCAGGCGCTCCCAGGCGTTTCCCAGGCGCCCCCAGGTTCTCCCAGGCGCTCCCATGCGGTCTCGGGCGCCCCCAAGCGCTCCCAAACGCCAGGCGATCCCAAGCGTTCCCAGGCGCTTTCCAGGCGCTCTCCAGGCGTTCCCATGGGCGCTCCCAGGCGCCCCCAGGCGTTCCCAGGCGCTCCCAAACGCTCCCAGGCGCTCCCAGCTTCCGACGCGTTCCCAGGCGCTCCAAGGCGCTCCCAAACACTCCCAAGCGCTTCCCCGGCGCTCCCAAGCGTTCCCGGTGCTCCTGGGCGAGGCGCTCCCAAGCGCCCCCAGGCGCTCTCGGGTGCTCCCAAACGCTCCCCAGGCGCTCCAGAGCGCTCCCAGGCGCTCCGGGCGCTCCCGGACGCTCCCAAGCGCTCCCAGGCGCTCCCACAAGCGGTCCCAGGCGCTCCACCGAAGGCCCCAGTGGCTCTGAACACCTGCGTCTCCCCCGCCCCATTTCGACACGCCCCTGGCACGTTTCGTGGCCTGCCCCTAGGGAGCTCCACCGAAGGCCTCGCAGCGGTGTCAACATGCTACCCCCCACCCATGTCGGCATACCCCTCACACGTCCCGTGGCCCTATAGGGAGCTCCCCCTCCTTCGTCCCACCTGCCTTAAGGTACTGCCAATCGCATATGGTTGGGCCCTTCGCCAGCATAAGTTGTTTCTCTCTCTCTCTCTCTCTCTGTCTCTCTTTCTCTATGTTTCTGGTTTGTTGGTGTGGTCTCTCTCTCTCTCTCTCTGCGCATGCGTACAAGCATACACACATACATACACACACATAGATATATCCATACATACCTATATCTATATATATATATGTGTGTGTGTGTGTGTGTGCGTGTGTATGTATACATGTATGCATGCATGCATGCATGCCTACACATCTACACACACTTACACATACATATACACGTACATGCATGCATGCATGCATACATACACCTACACAGGCATACATGATCGCGGGCTCCGGGTCCTCGGGCCCCCCCCCCCCAGATGGGATGGGTCCCAGGGTCCTCGGCCCACCTCCACCCCCCCAGATGGGATGGGGGGAGGGCAGGAGGAGGAGGAGGAGGAGGAGGACGAGGAGGAGGAGGAGGAGGAGGACGACGACGGCAAAGCGACGACGACGACGACGACGACGACGACGACGACGACACCGACACCGACAACGACGACGACGACAACGACGACGACAACGACGACGACGTCGACGGCACCCCCAGCGGCGGCGGCGACGACGTCGAGCACCGGAGCTGTCAACATGACGCCAATCCCAGCCACACGCCGCACCCACACCGCACCCACAGGGGGGAGGGAGGCGGGGAGGAGGACCATGGCGTCACCCCGCACACACCTACAGCAACACACCACACCGACACCACATCCACAGGGGTGTGGCGGGAGCCACCACGCCACGCCAACGCCCACAGGGGGGGGGGGGGGGCACCGCGCGGAGGGGGGGGGGCCCGATGGCATTAGCATTGGGGAGGGGGCCCAAACCCTCGACCATACATACATGCATGCATACATACATACACATATACACCCGCATACATACATACATGCATGCATGCATGCATACATATGTACATACCTACATACCTACATACCCACACACACACACACATACATACATACATACATACATACATGCATGCATGCATGCATGCAGGCAGGCAGGCAGGCAGGCAGGCAGGCAGGCAGGCAGGCATGCATGCATATATACATTCTTTCGTACAGACAGATACCAATACATCCATCAATACATCAATACATCCATCCCTCAATCCGTCCATACATACATACATACATGCATGAACACTACATGCATACATCGCTACATACATACATGTTTACATACAAACATACATGCAGGCATGCATGCATGCACATATAAAGCAAATGCATCAAAATGCACTACAATGCATTGCATTAAACAACGTTACGCCGCATGGCATTACATCGCATTCCACTATAATACACTACAGTACAGTACACTACACGATACTACACGACAGTACAGCGCAATACACTACATCATAACATTTTGCACTGCATGACATTACATTACACTGGCACACCTTACTATAAATCGCACTACATTATGTTAGAACGCACCGCCTTACATTACAACACATCACATCCCATTCAATTTGAATACATTACATTGCATTACACTACATTACATTACATTACATTACATTGCAATGCAATACACTACAGCACACGACACTACAGTCCAGACATACATACAGGCATTCCTACATATTCAGAGTGTGTGTTTCTCTCTCTCTCTCTCTATCCCTGTCTCCTTCTCTCTCTCTCTCTCTCTCTCTCTCTCTCTCTCCCTCTCTATCACCCCCCTCGCCCTACACCCTCGTACTCGTCCCTGCTCCTCGTCCTCTCCGTCCGCCTTCGTCCTCGTCCTCCTCTCGCTTCCCGCAAAGACATATGCTGTTTCTTTCGCTTGCGACAAAAAGACTGCGACAAACAAAAACGGCACGGGGACGCGACACCAACGGCACGCGGCTGAGCGCAACGGTGCGCCCCCCACCCTGCTTTCAGCGAAGCGCGCGTGCCACACTGCACGTAGAGCCTCGCCCGAGGGCGTCTATCATAGAGAACAGGATGCAGAAAGGGCACGCGGGTGGGCAGAGGGTGGAGCCAGTAAGAGCGTGGGAAGGGGGAGAATCGGGAGGAAGGGGGCAGAGGAGGGAGGCGGAGAAAAAGGGAAGTGGAGGAACAGGAGACGAAAGACGGCGACGACGACGCACACCTCCGAAGCCCGTGCCAATGTTAGACACGATGAACTACTCACGACAGGAGGAGCAGGGGTAAGAAGCAAGTGGAGTACGAAGAGGAGGGGCGTAACTGGTGAAGGAAGACGGGCGAGAAAGAGGAAGACAAACAAGAAAGGCAGGGGCACGTGGCGAGGGACCCAGAGAAAAGAGCAGCACTGGGGCCTCAGCGCGGCAGCCTGGGTCGTCGCAGAGCTTCGTTTTGTACGCTGCTGCGTGGTAGCTGACTTCCTGGCCAGCCAGCGGTCGATGGCCAAAATGAGGTGGGCAAGAGCCATTGTGCGCAAAGCTACAGTACGTATCTGGGCAGTCCTGATTATTCGTTGTGTTGCCCCCCTTTCTCTCTCTCTTTCTCTCTCTCTCTCTCGCTCGCCCCCTCTTGTCTCAATGTGCGCGTGTGAAGACAGGCGTTTGAGATACGTGCATATGTACATACAGACATACGTGCGCACAGACAAACACACAAATACCTACAGACATGTGTATATATATTTGTGTGTATGTACGTATGCTCATATATGTATTACATATACATGTAAACACATTGAATAAACACATATAGAAAAAGCACAACCGAATAATAATAAAAAACGAAAATAACGAATGGGGGCCATGTGCGAAGAGCTTTGGGATCTGGTGTAAGATGGCGCATCTTCTAGGGGCGTGATCGACTTCCTTTTCCAACGCGATGGTGAACTGCCAAACCCTCAGGCAGTCCAAGCAAATAGGGCGCCAGCGTCTTGAGCCAGACGCCAACGGCGCGCTCGCTATGCTCGCTATACACATGCCCCGCCGAACCCTTCATTTCAAAGTCGAAAAGAGGGAGATGAGCAGAGCGAACCGTAAGATTCAGGCTATTTTCCGCGGGTAACAATGCGCAAAGGCTCGTACAAGGGCGAGACAGGTCCGGCATGCCAACGCCAGGCTTGGACCTGCGAAGAGGCGGCGTGCGCGATCCGGCATCGAACCAGGATCGAGCCGCAAAGCAACGGCAGGGCCAGCCCTGCGGGGTCCAGCCACGAGGCAAGGACCCAAGGGCGCAAACAGCGCAAAAGAGTAAAAGATTACAGGCAGAACGCAAAAAGAAAGAGATACGTATCTGACCGCGCGTTTCCACACCAAAAAGAAGCGCCCCGCCTGTTCATCACGAGCCCGGCCCAACCTTCGAGGTCGGAGCCTAGTAAGGAGCGCAGGTCTTCAACTCGCGCATAAAGGACTGCGTTCCCGCCATTGCTTGCAATAGCAAATCCCGTTCAATACTGCATTTAGTATGCCCCATCGGCAGTCGCATCCCGTGCATCACACCGTTGTATGCTGTGTACGATGCGTTTATCCACCATCTGTCTTATCCAGCTAATGTGTCCTAGCAGCGCACACGATGAAAGCTTTTTGAGGCCCTTGCTGGACAAGGATTTGAATACCGACTCAGCATCGATGGCGAGAATAACTTTGATACAGAGTCCGCCCATATCAAGTATGTGTTTAAGTTGCCTGGGTGTAAGCGGTCCCGCCTTAGCTCATGTAGGGAAGCGATGGTCGGGTAGCAGTCCTCTAAGTCATGGGCTGCTGCGAGCGTCTCTGCAGAGTTGCTTGATGTGTCATGCACTCGATGTGACTTGCAGTAGGCATCTATGAGGTGCACGACGGAATTGCCATTGCGCGCGTCCACGCCGGAGCAAGCTGGCACCTCGAATGCCATGCCCTTGTCTCGTCCTCAGCGCCCCCGGTCAAACGTCGATGACCGGAGTCGCTGTGTAGGTCGACTTCTCTTGTGGGCTTCGCAGCAGGGTGAGCGAATTTCTGAGGTTGGCTCTGCAGTTTCCGCGCAAGTGCATTCAGCGGCCGCGCCTGGGCATTGGTGGTAGAGAGACAACATTTACCATCAAGCAGACCTGGGCCGCAGGAGCACATGCTAATGCTCCGCGCAGGCGGACGAACATGTCTGCTACTAGTTTCGTCGCGTTCTCCTTGGCCCCCGCCTCTGCGTGGTCGGGATGTTAGATGGGCGAAGTTGTTTGATGTATTTGTCCTGCAGCATGCCCGTTCTCGTTTTTCGTGTATATGACGCCGCAGTTCGCGCGGGTATGTCTGCCAAGGTCACGTGCGCCGAACGCGTTTTCGGCGCAATTCACGTAACGATCGATAGTTTCCTCTTCTCCGGTCACGTTGATAGCGCCCACGTTTTTGGCGTCAAAAGCGTCTCCGCAGTTTCGAAACTCTTCGACGTAAGACGCGGCTTGCAGGCCGAAGCCGCGCGCAACGCTGCGAAGCTTCAGGGAGGGCTCGCGGGGCGCCCTTCGCCCAGGCGCCCGGCGCCAGGCGCCGCGAGCAGTGGCGACTTTCGTCGCGTTTCTCGAGCCTGGGGAGAGTTCGTAGCGCAGCTCCCGATCTTGGTGGTAGCGTGAAGCATACGATGCGTTCCCGCTCTTCAGTGGCTTCTGCAGCGCACGGTGGGTGAGACCCTATAGGAGTGCCTTGTCTATATCCAGGGACGCAATTATCCAGTCAGGGTTGCAAGCACCTTCGCTGGCCAGCAGACGCTGGTTCGACCTTCTGGCTGTTCCTGAGAAGGCTTCTACATCGTCGAAGGCTTCCACGCCAAACCTTAAGCGAATTGTCCTGACCATTTCTCCTCTGTCATTCTAGACAAACGCCCATGCATATACGCAACGCGAGGCCAAGACGTTTGAGGCGCCTGAAAGAGATGCCATCTTGAAGCATGTGTTACCAAGTCAGATCTTTAACTCGGCGTAGAGTGCCTTGCCTATCTGCACTGGATTGGCTACTATTCCAGCCTCAGTGAGCAGGTCGCCCCCCGATGCCATCACCACCCGTTCAACGGCTGCGGAGACGCATGTCCGCATTGTTGTAACGTTGTCTTCCTGAAGTATATTACACCGTTGCCTTGCAAGGACAACCTTTGCCACATCGGCTATAAAGCCAAATATTGTCTGCGTGCTCGGAAGAGGGGGTGGGGGCATGTCGACTGGCTCCTCGGCACCTTTGGGGCGCTTCCTCTTATTCCCCTTCTTCTGGCTGGCCCGCCCCTTCACCCGGCTGGCCTTCCGCTTGGTCGAGCCAGTCGGGCTTGGAGGCAGTGCCGGCGCAGCCTCCGATGAGGCGGCTGCGCCTGGAGCACATGTAGCGTTTCGGCTCAAGTTGGCATTGGCAGCGCCCTCTTCGGTTTTTCCCCGGCGTTTCCGCCGCCCCCATTCAGCGTCTCCGCCTTCCCCCTCCTCCTCGCACTCGCGACGTTGGAGGTCGTGCCTCTTCAGCTCGTGGTGCTCGGAGAGTTCAGCCCAGAGCTGGGCGACGGCGGCGCGTTCCATCTCGCCGCAGGGGGCGCGGCGGGCCTGCGCGGGAAATTCGGCGCTCGCACCGTCGCCACGGCGCGGCAGAAACGGTGCGACGCCTCGATTGGGGGACCTGCTGCTGCCCCGATCCACGGGGCAGTTTGGGCGGTGCCCCTGCCGCCCACATCATGCGCAAATGCGGCAGCTGCTGCGCTCGCCGAACTGATCGCGAAGCTCGCAGCAACGGCAGCGGACGGCGTCGACGGGCCACCTGCAGCACGCAGCAAGGCCGCAACAGAGGCGGCTGCGAGCGGACGAGGGCAGGGGGAGGCGGATAAAGGAGGATGAAGACGCACGGCGCAGCGGAGAGCACACAGAGAACCTATCCATGAAAGAAGATTGGGAAACCAAGCGGCGCAGAAGCCAAACCCCTGCTGTAAATTCTACATCCGGGATATGGATTGGCACATGCATACAATCCTCCGACGCGGTTCCAGACAGGGCAACGCTGCCATTCGGCTAGACTATCCAGAACTACTTCATGAACGGCCAAACGGAGCTGTCGCGTCAATTCTTGCCCAGCAAATTCCGTGCGACCGTTTTGCCATGGAGCGCGAGCATCCGCTGAAGGTAGGCGCACGCCGTTGTTTTGCATGTCATCGGCAAACGCCCCCTGAAATTCCGTTGCAAGATCTACAACAACAACTCCCGACATGCCGAGAACACGTGCCGGTGTGCGTACACATCCTTACCTTACTACCTCTGCTGATTTCCCTGCCCCCACATGTCCAACCAGCTGAAAAGACGTGCCCCGACAGATAATACTGATCCCAAGAAGCAGCGCATCATCAATCGGACACTTGACCTCAAGCAAATCATTGCCAGCAACATGACTGATTCGATAAGACTTGGGAACAGCAGCAGGGCGGCGAGCATCGGGTCGTCTGCGCGCACTACCCCGTCTCAGAAGTCGAATAGAATCTCGACTTTCAGGACAACCTGGATGTCGCGAGCAAGCTTTCGCTCGGTTGGCTGGTCGGTTGTAGGCGCCCAGTCCACTCTGGCTGAGCGGGTACTTCATCATCGCTGTCGGATTCGGCTCCTCAGGCCCATCTTCCTCAAAGGAAGAGCGAGACTGGCAATGTTCACTGAGGGCGCCTGCGTCACCTGCTTTGCCCGCCGATGACAAATCGTGCGAATGACGCTCTCGTCGAGCTCCGAAGATGATGTCCATGCCCCACTGGTGGCCTGCCGCAAAATCAATCACAAATTCCCTTCGCAAGCCTCGGCCGCCCCAACCGAGCCCCGCAAAGCGGCGGGCTGCCGCGATCCACCCGGGGCACCCCGAGGCGCAGCCGCGCGCTTGCCGAACGCTGGACCAGCCAGGCTCACGCCGGTAGCATCTGGAGAGCCGCCCAACCTGACTGAGACAGGCGCTCTGAGGACAAACGCTCGCCAGCAAGGCGCCGGCGAACATCGCGCCAGCAGCGGCTCCGCCGTTAAGGAAAGCACGGCCAGATCACCTCTTGGCCGGAGCGCGGTCACAGGAGGAGTCGGAACAAGCATCCTGAATGGATTCAGTAGTACCATCTGAGTAGACAACCTCTGTCGCCCGCAGTCAAATCGTCTGCAGCAGGAGAGCCGACGGAGTCAGCAAGGGTAGAACGCCCGCCGCGGGGCTCGCGATGCACTCGGACATGCACCCCGCGACCATTAAGACATCTTCTGCCCTCGAATCCTACAGACGTCGTTCTCCTCCACGATCGCCTCGAAACCAACCCCACCCACGATAGCATCGCGCATCTCGCGTTCCGCCGCGTGCGTTGCCATGCGCCTGAGTCCTTGATGCGTCGCTGGCTCGCCTGACTCGCGAGTCTTCACGCGCCACTCGCAGCGCTGGAAGTCCTTCTCGTAGACCCCCTTGAAGGCGTAGCCCGCGTGCATCCCGAACGCCACCCGTTCCGGGCGGCATGGCAGGCCCGCGCCGTTGAAACCCTCGACGGGGGACCCCGCCTAGCGCATCCGGCAATCGTCGCACGCCCACCAGAAGGTCTCGCCGTTGCCCCGGCGGCGCATGGCCTTCTCGGGGCGCGCGCGCACGGCCTGACCGGTCCTCGCGGCGCCCGTGCCGCCGCGCTCAAGCCTCTGACCTGCCGCGAACCACCCCCCGCCGGAATCTTCAGGACTCGAGAGAAAGGTCTCGGATCGCGGGTCCGAGGCGTGGATGGCGCAGCCTCGCTGCCCAGACTCCTGGCGGCCCCGAGCAGGATGCGTGCCTCCGCGCGGCGCTTCATGGCGTCGTGGTCCAGGATAGAGAATGGCTTCGGGCGGCATCGTCTCCTTTTCCATGTCCGCTTCTCTGGGGCCCTCGGGGACTGGCTGGGCCTGCCGGCGCTCGGAGGTTCCAGCTGCGGCCCCTTCTTGGCGAGGATGAGTTCCGCGCGATTCAACGTCGCGCGAGATGTCAGGAAAGGCGGCAGTTGGCCGAGAAAGACTGATTCGGGCCAAGGGTGCCTGCGGGTTCACGTAGAATACGGCGCCCCCAGGCTCAATGACCTGATGATATCCCTGAATCATCCGAGAGACTTGGCTGATTTTTCTCCGCCAACCATCATCGGGAACGTCGAACGCATAGAACAATGCGCCTGCGCGCCCCTACCCCACGCGCCCTCCATTGACTGCCGTCGAGCGCCGTCCAAATCACAACGCTACCTGGCACGTCAAGAGCCGCGCCGAGCTGCCCGAGGATTATCACTGGGAGCAACAAGGGCGCATCGCAGGCAATCAGATGCACCGCGAAAGCACCGCCATTCTTCCCCACGGCGACCGGCAAGGTCCAGCAGGAGAGAAACTTGGCAGATCCTCCGACGCCTATGGCGCCCACGTCAAGAGTATCTGCACTGCGCCGTGGATGTCTCCAAGATATCCCACCATTTTCTCAAACTGATCTTCGCCGCAGACTCCACGCTGAGCCCCAATATCCACTAAACCGAAACCCATCTGGACCTGAAGTTCCATGAACGTCTGTTCACAAGTGTCAGCAGTAGCAAAGATGGGAAAGGTAGAAGAACTAACTCCAGACAGGGTCGTAGGTTCCCGCTGACAAACGTCGCGCAGGGCGTCATCTGCTTCGAGCGGGACAGCCTGGAAGCCGCCGACGCCTGCTTGCCGTTTACGTTCTCGCTCGTCTGGCTCTTTCGCACAGTCCCGAGCCCAACGTCCCATCTTCCCACGTCGGGCGCGCTTCGAGCGACTCATCCGTTTGCTTTTGGTCCAACACTTCGGTCGAGCACGTCAAATCCGTTTCCCTCAACGCTCTCCCCTGCGGGAGCCTTTGGGCCTGCCTTTCGGAGGAGACTGTTCAAAAAACCTCGCCCGAGCTTCTGCTTGCGTAGCATTGTCGCACCCAACTGTAGTTGGCGTAGAGGGCCACAGCCTCGTCTTCATCCAAAATTGCATCCTCGGGCATGTCCCCAGCTACGAAACATGCGCATTCGTCGCCCCTGTACTTGAGAGCCTCAGTCAGGGCGTTGTCTTCTTCGTAGGACCCGGGCAACAATTACAAAGACTGCTTCATGCTAATACAATGAGAATCATCATTGTCAGATTCCTGCTCATCATATCCGCGTTCGTCTCCTTGGTAACCGAAGAAGTGCGAGGCGGAACTCATTCCATTAATACGATGGCCGCTTTTGCCTGAAAGTAGTGGTCGCTCAAGCTTCCGAAGCCTCTCACACCCGATGTCAAAGTCGTACGATCCCTCAGCCCAGTGCTCAACAGCATCCCAAGCGGCTTCACTGAGCTTGGATTCTCTGGAAAGCATGTACCGTTTCAACTCCTCCAATAGGATCACGTGCGTCTCGAGTTCTCGGAATAGCACTCGCTCGCGAGCAATCTAATTGACTGGGGATTCGTCTCGCTCACGCGTGGCGTCGTCTGAATAGAGGCTGCCAAAATCTTCCGGCATCCTGCTGTCTTAATATTCGACGAAAGCCTTCTTATATGTTTGACCACGACCTGCCCGCCGTCCTCCCAGGACAGCTGGTCTTCGGTGAGCTCGTTAATCAGAATATTGCGGTCGTCTCTGGCGTAGCGGTAAATGAAGTATACATGTTGTCTCTTGGGTTTTTTCTGGTAGTCGCGAGCCACATTGCAACTCCTTCATGTAAGGGTCTAAACGAATATCATGATCTTGTCCATCACAAGTGGGAGGTAGGTCGCTTGGTATGTTTGGGGCCTCCGATTGTTGAGGAAATCGGCCACTCTGGCGACCAGAAGATCTGGCAACGGCATCTCCCCAATGAGTTGGGGTGAACGGCGTAGCCTGTCCCCGATATGGTGCAGCCGGCGAACCACGGCCCCGCGCGTTCCAACTCGACGAGGAAGACTGCGTAATGGGTTGCGTGTCGGTCCAGGGCTGTGAATACCACCGAACCCAGTCTTGATCTGACCACACCGCTTCGCCATCACCGTCCGAGGGAACGTCTTCTCGTCCTCCGCCTCGTGCCCAAGGATCCTGTCCTGGTTGTAAGCCAAGGATCGTCCGGATGTTCGTCTTGAAGAGGCTGAACGTCGTCTGGGCGGTCCATGGCGGCGGTCGGCACAAGAGGGTGGGAAGCGGGAGGAGCAGGATCATAATATGGAATGTCACCCGATAACCGACGGACAGGGGAATCGGACTGACTCCCCTCGTGGATCGGAACCACCGGTTCCGCTGCCACTATGGAATGCAGGGGAGCGAGTGTATGGAATACAGAGAGACACAAAGTACAAGTAGGGGGACCCGTGCTCTAAGAGAGCACGTTCTCTTTCCTTTTACGAGGGCCAGGGCGAGCCCATCTCCTGCGCACCAGGTGATTCAAAAGGCCTTGTGAGTCACAACGGCGGCAGACAAGGGAGGTGGGACGGAGGCGAAGGCGGAGAGGCTGACAGATGCATGACAACCACAGGGGGCGCACGCGACTCGCGCGAACGCACAATCATCGTCGTCGTTCTCGTCGTTGTCGTCCGTCGTTGTCCGTCGTCGCCCAGAAGGCGTGCAGCAGGAGTACTGAAGGCGAAAGAAAAAGACAAAGGAAGAGAAAGAAACAGAAATCCCGAAGTGGCCGATCGGAATTCCAGGTTTCGCGCACCTGTTGAATTTCTGGCTTCGCTTCGGAAACCAAATTTCGATGCTCGAATTCTGGTTTCGAAACGGGTTCCGGGTTCCGCGTTTGCGGCAAGTTCCTGGTTTGAACCGAACAGGTTCTGGGTTTTGGGGCGGTTCCCAGGTTGAGCTCTCAACCGCCATGTTCTCCATTTGGGGCTTCGCTGGCCAATCGCAGAACCCCGTCAAAACGAACACGTCCGTGAAAGCGAACACGTCCGCGAGCGCGGCCATTGGATCACGCCGATGCAGGCGTGTCGGAAATGTTAAACCTGTACCGGGGGGCAGTTCGGTATGTCTCGGAGACTTGAGAAGCAGAAACGCCAGTGTCGCCGTCATTCGCGACGTTAGATGCGGCGTCGCAACGTTATGCAAATCATGCAAGGCTGAGGGAAGACTCGCTGTAGGGTCAGTCAGATGCGCAGCACTAATAAGGTAGACGCTGGCAGGGGCGAGCATATCAGCGTGTGTAAATCGATGTGTACGAATATAACCTAAAACAATCGCGTGTTCCAGCTTCGCTGAATTGCTGAAGTCCTACGAACAAGCCCGTACACGATGCACAGCTAGCATCCGTCTTCGTCACGTACCCGGTCAAGACAACTGAAATGGCCCAGAGCACGAGAGAGAGAGTGAACTAAAGAGAAAAATATGACGCGCATGACTGCTTACATGTATATACTACGACGACGGCGCGAGAGAAAGAGAGAGAGAGAGAGAAAGTGAGCACGAAACAAGCATGCCCAACAACAAAACCATGATGTTGTGTCTCACAGACGACATGACGCACGACAACAACAAACTGACGAATTCATGAGTCTGCCCTCTGCGGCCGTCCCGTGGGCCTCCTGCGTGTGAGCGAACGGGCACATGTCGCCGCAGGGGCACTCCTGCGCGGTGGTGCGGAAAAAGGGGCCCGTGGGACTGTGCTGCGCCCTGGGTTATCGGAGCTCCCCCCTTAAACAATGACTCGGTGCCTTTTATCTCCGTCCGTCTGTTAATCTTGACACACCTGACTTCAAAAGCTGGCATGTTACATGGTTGTTTCAATCGGAAGGTTTTCGGTGTGTCATAATGGTGCTCCTGTGCCGCGTGGGCCGCATCAAAGGATCGGCGCTTTGCTCCCGTCGTTCAGAATGGCGGTCTTGCCCCAGCGGGAACCAATTTTCTGGATCCGAGTCCTTCCTCATCATCGTTTCCCTGCTCCTTCTCCCTCTTCCGCTTTTCACTTCCTTCCCTCGCACGCTTCGGGCGGTCGCACGCCCGCTCCTGTTCCCGCTGTTATGATTTCTCGGAGAGAGCGTGATCCACCGCCGCTTTACTGTGGAAAATTCCCCCCCTTTTCCTCCGGAACCCGGAGGTCCCCCCCCCCCCCCTCCGAAAATCCCCCCCCCCATGCTGGACCCCCCCCCCCTCCCCTCCCCCGGCACCCCCCCCCTCCCCTAACCCCCCCCCCCCCCTCCCCCTCGAAAACCGGGGGGGGTCACTACCGGTTCGAACCCCCCCCCCCGAAAACCGGAGGGGGGTCACTACCGGTTCGAACCCCTCCCCACCCCCCCCTCACCGCCAGCAAACGACTCCCTACCACCGTCCGCACCACATCCCCCACTGTTGTTCCCAGCACCACTGTCCTCACCACCACTGTCCCCACTGGTTCCACCACCGTCCCTACTGTCCCCACCAGTGCCCCCACCACTGTCGCACTGTCCCCACTGTCCCCACCACTGTTCCCACCACGGTTCCACTCTCCCCACTTTCTCCACGGCCCCAACCACTGCCCGACTATCCCCACTGTCCCCACTGTCCCACTGACTCCTCCGCTGTCCCACTGAGCTGTCCCACTGTTCCACCACTGTCCCCACCACTGTCCCCACTGTCCCCACCCACCCCCACCGCCTGTCCCCACCACCACTGTACCCTCCACTGTCCCACCACCACATTCCCACTGTCCCCACACCACTGTCCCCACCACCACCGTCCCCACCACTGTCCCACTGTCCCCACTGTTCCCACCATTGTCCTCACCACTGTCCCCAACACTACCGTCTCCACCACTGTCCCACTGTCCCCACCACTGTCCCGCTGTCCCCTCACCACTGTCCCCACCACCACTGTCCGCACCCCTCCGCGGTTTTCGAAGGGGGGGGGGGTTCGAACCGGCAGTGACCCCCCCCGGTTTTCGAGGGAGGGGGGAGGGGGGGTGGGATTCGAACCGGTAGTGACCCCCCCCCCCGGTTTTCCGGAGGGGGGGGGGAGGGTTCGAACCAGTAGTGACCCCCCCAGTTTTCCGCCAGCAGCGGCAGAACACGCTCTTTCATTTCTCGTGCTCCTCCTCCTCCTCCTCCTTCTCCTCCTCCTCATCCTCCTCCTCCGTCATCCCCCTCTTCCCCTCCTGCTAATGCTCCTGCTCATTCGCCACCTCCTCCTCTTCCTCATCTTCCTCCTCCACTGTACTCTCAGTGTTGCGATTGCGCATGACACGATGGTGCCCAGGTACCACTATGATACCCGTTGGCGGATAGAGAAAAAACAGCGCAAAGGGAAGTGACGGTTGGGATGGATAGGATGTAAGATATGGTCCACTCCCCCTCCCTGCCCTCCCCCCCGAACGTCTTTGGCTGGACCCCCCCCCAACAAAATTATCCCGGCAAAGCAACCTAACAGCGATGTGTAGGAGCATATCTGGAAGCAGTCCCCTTAAGATTCACATGAGAATCCAGTTGTAGAATTCTGCTGTTCTCGCAGTCGCAGTCGCATTCGCGATGAAAGTCGCAGTGGCAACGGCAGTCGCAGTCACAGCCTCAGGCTCAGCCTGCCTCAGCCTCAGCCTCAGCCTGCCTCAGCCTCAGCCTCAGCCTGCTTCAGCCTCAGCCTCAGTCTGCCTTCAGCCTCGGCCTCAGCCTCAGCCTGCCTCAGCCTCACCCTGCCTCAGCCTCAGCCTCAGCCTCAGCCTGCCTCAGCCTCAGCCTGCCTCAGCCTCAGCCTCAGCCTGCTTCAGCCTCAGCCTCAGTCTGCCTTCAGCCTCGGCCTCAGCCTCAGCCTGCCTCAGCCTCAGCCTGCATCAGCCTCAGCCTCAGCCTCAGCCTGCCTCAGCATCAGCCTGCCTCAGCCTCAGCCTCAGCCTGCCTCAGCCTCAGCCTCAGCCTGCTTCAGCCTCAGCCTCAGTCTGCCTTCAGCCTCGGCCTCAGCCTCAGCCTGCCTCAGCCTCAGCCTGCATCAGCCTCAGCCTCAGCCTCAGCCTGCCTCAGCATCAGCCTGCCTCAGCCTCAGCCTCAGCCTGCCTCAGCCTCAGCCTCAGCCTGCTTCAGCCTGAGCCTCAGTCTGCCTTCAGCCTCGGCCTCAGCCTCAGCCTGCCTCAGCCTCAGCCTCAGCCAGCCTGCCTCAGCATTCAAAATGTGGCCCGGGAATGGAGTTTGGGGAACTCGAAGAACACGAAGTGGCCTGCAGTTGGCTCGGGGCATTCAAAATCATGCCCAGGAATGGAGTTCTGGGAACTCGAAGATCACGAAGTGGCTGGGAACTCGACACGAAGTGGCCTACAGTTGGCTCCGGGCATTCAAAATCATGCCCAGGAATGGAGTTTGGGGAACTCGAAGAGCACGAAGTGGCCTACAGTTGGCTCCGGGCATTCAAAATGTGGCCTAGGAATGGAGTTCTGGGAACTCGAAGACCACGAAGTAGCCTACAGTTGGCTCCGGGCATTCAGAATGTGGCCCGGGAATGGAGTTCTGGGAACTCGAAGACCACGAAGTGGCCTGCAGTTGGCTCCGGGCATTCAAAATGTGGCCCGGTAATGGAGTTCTGGGAACTCGAAGACCACGAAGTGGCCTGCAGTTGGCTCCGGGCATCCAACATGTGGCCCGGGAATGGAGTTCTGGGAAGTCGAAGAGCAGGAAGTGGCCTACAGTTGGCTCCGGGCATTCAAAATGAGGCCCGGGAATGGAGTTCTGGGAGGTCGAAGAGCACGAAGTGTGTGACTGTTTGCTTAAAACGAGCCTGGCCCTGAGCCCGGCCCTCGCTGTCCGGATGCCGCCCAGACCTCCCTTCTGAGTCATCAGATGCTCTCTTTTGACACCACTAGAAACCTATCAGTCTTCGCTGTTAGGTAAAAAGATGTCTACCTCGGAAGCGTCGTCTATCGATCGCGTTGTCCTCCTTCTCACCCTCGCTCGCCACTTCTCGCTCCTCTTTCCCATGCTCCTTCTCCACCTCCTCTGCCTTCGGTCTTCCTCCGTATCCACTTCCTTCCTCATCCCCCCCATCCTCCAAAGCCCCATCCTCCTGCACTGCTTCTGTGAAAGATCTGTAAATGGATTCCTTGAGTGAAAGTGCTACACATGGACTTCCGCCGTGGAGGAATTGCCAATAGAGTCCTCCTGGGCTGTGGGCAACACAAAAAAGCACCAATGACCCAGAACAACAAAAACAATCTCCTGGCGAAAAACCCAACCAGATGCAATTGTGAATGCCGTGTTGTGGCACCGCTTTCGGTGGAGCTCCTTATGGTGCCACGAACGTGTGAGGGGTGTGCCAAAACGGGGCGACACCGCCATGCGAACCCCGTCACTACTGTGGCCTTCGGTGGAGCTTTCTATGGGGCTACGAACCCTGTGAGGGGTGCGCCAAAAAGGGGCGGCACCGCCATGTGGACCATGCTGTCCCAGTGGTGTCCCGATGGTGTCCCGATTGGTTTCCCGAGTGGTGTCCCGATGATGTCTGGGTGGTGTCCCGATGGTGTCCCGATGTTTTCCCGATGATGTCCCCGTGGTGTCTGGGTGGTGTCCCAGTGGTGTCCCCACTGGTGTCCCGATTAGTATCGCGGTAGATACTGCATTCGGAGAAATCTCGCGGGCGCATCACCAGCATCGACACCATCACAATCAACGCGGTTGTCATCTGTTTGTTCTTCCCCCACAATCCCCTTATCACCCGAAGGGTGGTCGTATGGGGAATCGTATGTAATTTGCAGCGTCCCAGGGGGATCCGATAACCAAAAGGGGGGGCGGTGGTCGTGTCGAGTCTATTCTCTTTTCAAATGGACACATAGTGGTGTGAGCTCTGTAGTGTGATCTACTGAGCTACGTAGTGTCAGATATAATATGGTGCAATAGTGTGTACATAGCTAAATGCGTACATGATATAAGCTACGTGGTGTGAGCTCAGTGGTGCAGTCTATGCGGTGTAAGCTATGTGGTGTACGCACAGGGCCCCCACGAGGTGCCAACGGGCGGCAACGTGGCGAAACCTCGCCAGACACACCCAGCGCGCCACGAGGCGGCCAATGGCGGCAACGTGGCGAAACCTCGTCGGACCCATCCAGCGCACGAGGCGGCCACGGGCGGCAACGTGGCGAAACCTCGCAGGACCCACCCAGCGACCGAGGCGGCCACGGGGCAGCCAAGGGCGCCAGCGTGGTGACTCCTCGCTGGGCCCACCGAGCGCACGAGGCGGCCACGGGGCGCGAAACCACGCCGGACCCGCCCAGCGCACGAGGCGCCCACAGGCCGGCAACGTGGCGGAACCTCGCCAGACCCACCCAATGCACGAGGCGCCCACGGGCGGCCACGAGGCGGTCAAGACTGGCAACGCGCCGAAACCTCGCGGGACCCACCCAGCACACGGCGCGGCCACGAGGCGGCCGAGGGCGGCAGCGTGGCGAAGCCTCGCAGGACCGACCCAGCGCACGAGGCGGCCACGAGGCAGCCCTGAGCGGCTGGGTGGAAAATGCTCGCCAGACCCAACCAATCCCGTAGTGACGCAAGTAGTTTTTATCTTATATATATATACATATATAAACATTAAAGAAAAAGAAAATAATAATAAAACACACACACAAGAAAAAATGCAAGCGATGTTTGGGGAACCGCGTCTACCTGCCGCTTTCCATACTCCTCTTGCGAAAGACTAGCTAATACATATCAGTTTGGCTGCAAAGCCCGCGAGAAGCTGAAAGTACTCTTCCCAACGAGATAGGATGATGAATCCTGAGACCGCGCTAGAGTTCTGCGCACACGAGGCCAGGGGCCAAGTTCATGCTGAAAGCTCGAAGTGAGAAGGATGCTGGCGGAGGGAACTGAGAACCACCAACTTTGATAGACTTTGCTTGCGACGGGGTGACCGCAGCGCGGGCTGCGAGAGAAACGTTGGCAAGAGCGAATCGAGCCAGAATACATTATAGCCAATAGCTACAGACGGCGCTGAGATAATCCCAAAAAGAAAACCAGCTATGCAGAATGAGGGTCGGGACCGGGACGTAGCGCACGCGGTTCCACAGTGCATGTATAACGTTTGAGCTCTTTGCGGCTGCCCTGTCCATGTTTGTGACATGCAGTGCGAATCAAACTATTATGCCCACTCCTCCACAACAGATTTGCATGTCATCGCGCCCGCCTCCACGCACTATATACACTATACACAAGTCCTCCCCATCCTCCTCCTCCTCATCTTCCTCCTCCTCCTTCTCCTCCTCTTCGTCATCGTCATCGTGAGCAGCTCCGTTATCAGCGTGATCATCAACAACATCACCATCATCAGCATCATCATCATCAGCATCATCAGCATCGCCATCGTCATCGTCATCGTCATCGTCGTCATCATCATCATCATCATCATCACCATCATCATCATCATCATCATCATCATCATCATCATCATCATCATCATCATCATCACCAGCATCATCTCCTTCCCCATCCTTACCACTACGTATTCCCTTCCCCACAAGCCTCCTTCCTGTCGCCCTTTTTCTCCTCCCCAGCCTCCCCCTCCTGGCGCGGCGGCAGCGGGTCTCGCAAGCGACGCCCGCACTGAGTTTGCCGTCGACCGCGTCGCCCAGGCATCGGCCCGTAGCTCACAGCTGGCTCTACCGATCCTCCTCGTCCTTCTCACCCTCACCCTCCCCGTCGCCGTTTGTTGGCACCGCTCCTGATCCGCAGCGACGTACTCGCAAGGCACTTCCCAGTATCTCAGACGCCCGGTGATGGTATCTACGAGGGGCCGTCTCCTGCGCATCGCGGGAGACCGCGACCATGGCGGGGAACATGAGAAGAGTGGATGTTGGGAGGTCCGCTCCGCCTCCCTCATTCCGCCACCTTCCTGCTTTTTCCTCTTCCTTTTTCCTCCCTCCATTTTATCCTTCCTGCTCCTCCTCCTCCTCCTGCTCCCTCGCCTCCTCCTCCTCCTCCTCCTCCTCCTCCTCCTCCTTCCTCCTCCTCCTTCATCCCCCTTACTCGTGATGCCTCTCAGTATTCCCCTTCCCCTTGTGTCATCCGTTCCTCCTCATCCTTTGTTCTCTGGGCGGGCGCGAATCCAGCCGGTCGGGCTCTATGCGTGAGCGACCCGAAGCAGCCCCACAGAGCTCTGCACCGACCCACGAGAACAGCCGTTGCCCACAGCTCTGTCCCCAGCATCTGCCATCCCAGAGAGCGAAAGCCGTACGGGGAACCTACTGTCCCACCTCCCGTTCCGCCTCATCCACTTTCCGCCATTTACTCCTCCATCCTCCTAGTTGTCCAACTCGTCGAATTCCCATCCTCGTTTTCCTCTTCGGGATCCTGCGCAGCCTCCTCTGTCCTCATTTTCCCATGGGGCGTAACTCCATGCGAATCTCCGCAACTGATCATGCAAGCTGCATCACCAGCTTCGCAGGGCAGCGCCTCCTACTCATCTTCCTCCTCCTCCTTTTATTTATCCTCCTCCTCGTCATCATCATCACCATCAACATCATCATTGTCAGCATCATGAGTCGCAGCATCATCACCAGCAGCAGCATCATCACTACCATCACCCTAACAATCACAACCATCATCACTATCAGCATCAGCATCATCATCATCGTCACCATCATCAATGGCAGTCTCATCAGGATCATTCCCATATGCAGCGTTACAATGTCGGACGGCATACTCGGAGACGGTTGGCGAGAGGAGGATCTGTCATACAGTAACGCGGCACGCGGTGAGAGCACATCTCAAAGCCAAAGGCTACGGAGGTCACGAGCGGGGCCGAAGAGGGAGACAGACTGGGGACCCCCGCGGGCTCCATAGGACCACTGGGGACGGCGGGTCTAACTCTCGCGGCCTCAAGCTCGCCCGACCTCGAAGCCTCTATAGGATCCTCCTTATGTATCGTGAGCTCCTTCTCCCCCCCCCATCCCCCTTCATGGCCTCGCACCGAAAATGCGGGGCAACCCTCGCGATGTCCTGGATCCGCGGCCCACGCTGCCGGGCGGGAGGAACGATGGAAGACGACGACGAAAAAGGAAAAGAGAAGGCTGAGAAACGCGAAGCAAGACTCATTGAGAAATCTGTGCTGATACCATCCGACGCCCCTGGGGAAGGCACGAAAAACTGCGGTTCGCTCCTAAACGCTGTCTCCTCGAAGACAGTAGCTGCAAAACTTCGTTCGACCCTGAGCGCGCCCAATCCCTCTGCAACAGCGGTCGACGCGACGGCTTTCCTACTGGCGCCTCGCGATCTCGACCCTACTGACTCGTCAAGGGCCCTCTCATCCAGGTGGCCGCGCTCATCTATCAAAACGAGGCCCCCTCGACATAGAAGATCGCGCAGCGCGAGTTGTCTCGCATCGGATCCTGTTTGGTTAGTGGGTCTGCAAGCATTCGCCCGCGAGGAACCCACCGGACTCTCGACCCAACTCCGGACAACGCGTCTCGAATGACAGCAAGCTCCACGGCGCTGCGTCTTTCGGCTCTGGACCCTGCCGAGTTTTGGACAGCGCGTCAAGAACGGACTTCGCACCAACTGCTGCAATGCCTTCGGCATCCTCGCTCAGAGAAACACGGGGGACAGGGGAACAGGAAAGGGAGAAAGACGCCCCGGGCGAGGAACGCCCCCGAACGCGGCGTCACGAAACAAGGATCTGTAGCCACTGCGCCTCAGCAGTGGCCCCACTCAGCGCCAGCGCCCCTGCTGCCGCGGCGCTGGCCACCGCTCGCTTCCAGCGCTGAGAGCGCCACGCCAGCGCGCTGGCTCGCGCTCTCTCGTCCTCGCCGACTGCGGCCTCGGCCGCCGCGATAAGCCGAGCCCGCCCGGGGCCCCCCCTCCGCGCGCCGACCCCGGCCCGCCCGCGCCACCGGCGGCGACGAAAACCAAAGAAACTGGGCCCAAACTCCAGGAGGTGACTCGTCGCTCGGCGGGCCCTTGAAGATACCCACACGCTGCATGCCAGCAGAGAGCGTCGGCCACTGTCGGCTCGGGGAGCGCCGCAGCGAGAAGAGACGCCGGCCCTGCCACGTCTGGCCTCGACTCGCGGGCCAGCCACTGCACCTGAGCAACTGCAGCGCGATGGGATGCGACCCCGGCTCGCGTGAGCAGGAAGTCCGGCGTAGAGCGGCGCTCCTTATCTAAATGCACCGTGGACAGCTGCTCGCGAACATACTTCTCCTGATCAATTACAACACGATCGGGAAGTTGGCGAATCCGACGACCAACGAACTCCGAATTCTCTCTTCTTCCACTTTCCGAACTTCAGCCGTTCACACAGCTTCGAACAGAGCTCCTGAACTGAGAGATTAGCGCCGGCGAAGATGAGATCGCCCACTTCGATATAAGACGGGGTCTCGAGAGCACCCGAGGCGTCTTGATGCAGCCACAGACACGGTTCTAACAAAGATTTGACAAATCCGAGGGATCCAAGATACTCTGTCAACGTCGGATGCCACAGGAGCGGCGCATCGTTCAAGCCATAAACGGGAGCGACCAGATCCATCAGCTGGCCCGGCTTCAGCTCCAGCCACAAACATGTTTCTACATTAGTAGCCCCAGCTGGCCAGCGAAGGCGATTGCTCTGGAAAAAGGCATTCATGGCATCCGCCACATTGAGAGCCCACCCCATAGACGCGATGATCTGGCAAACTAGCATGATCGATTCCGACTGCGGGGCCAGCGCATACACGGAAAGGCTCTCTGCATCATGATTTTGGTGCCCATGTACGCACCAGCGGAACTTCGCCTTAGCTGCTGACCACACCCATTCCGTTGGCTTGAAATTCCTCATCATTCGGGGCGAGACGATTCCATCAGGGAGTCTGCGTCGGGAATGTTCTGGCGTTAGAACCTTGACCTCCCGCTCCGCGCGATCAGACTCCTCGAACTGCGCGCGTTCCTCGGAAGTGAGGCTCTTCCAGACGACCTCGGCCCCCTGGGGGTTCTTGGGAAGGACCTCAGCGGCCGCTGAAAAGACTTCAGGGCCCACCTGAAAGCCGAAATCAGCAAGGAGGTCCTATCCCAGGGGAGTGTCCGACCACGCTCGCAGCACTCCCAGAAGACTCCAGTCCTGAGAGAGGTCGGCGTCATCGGCTTCCCTCTCTCTGGGTAGGACTTCCGTCGAGGACGGAACAGCGGCGGCTTCGCCGATCCGCGCATCAGGGAGCGCCTCGAAATGGACAGACCTCCGAGCCCTGGTAACCGACGCGGACCTGATCGCGGAGGCCCTACCGTACACTCTAATAAGCTCTGAACGTGGAGCGGGCCCCGTTGGGGACCGACCTTCGATTCGATCGACCATCTGGTTCACCTTAAGGGCTTCGAGTCGGCTCGACAGGGGCTAGCCCTGGTCTGACCGCGCGATCCTCGGGATCGGAGATGGGGCGGTGGACGCGAGCTTGCCCTCGCAAGCTCACGTTGCCCGGGGCTGCAGGCTCGCCGACTCGGTCCTCGGCAGCACCCGATGTCTCAGATCCCAGCTGCGGGGGCTGCCTGCTCGCAGAGGGAGGGGCGGTAGACTCGACGCCTTCCTCGTGGGAGGTGCAGAACGATGGGGGGGCCGCGGCCGAAACCCAGGGGGCCCACGCTCGGGCCTCGGGGCCGGGCCTATCCAGGCCGCACTCCGTTCCAGGACGGCCCCGCGCTCCTAAGAAGGGGGGGCCCTCCGCCGCCGCGTCAACGGCCCCCGCCTTACGCCCCGGGGAGCGAATGTCTTCCCGAAGTTGATCAAAACGAAACGAATCCAGCAGTTCCGCGCCGAGAGCCTCCCGGCGAGTAGCGGGCCTGATCCGCCCCTCAGTACGCGCGCGCAGCTTCGCTCATAGCCACCCACACGGCGCCCCCTCGCCGGCATATCGCTACGCCTGGTCCGGCCCAGCGATCGCGCTGCAACGAGCGCGTCCGATTGGCAGCCGCTACCTGGCGCCACGCGCACACCCGCCCCTAGGGCTCGAATTGGCATTCCGCGCGCAAAGGGCCCGACTAGCTTCTGAAAGGCGGGACTTGGCATCTAGACTTGCCGCGGCGACGCGGGCGGCTTGAAAGAGTCTCACGGCGACGGGCAAACTCCCCAGAAGCAGTGTCCTGACCGATTTGTCCCCAAATATCCTAGGTTCCGACCACATCCCAGGCATCGTCTGACAACAGGGCCCTGGGCCCCCTCGGATTTTGCCCCAAAACGAGCTGGGCCGGACTAAACCCCCCCCGAGAAGATAAGTCTTGCTCTTCGCGGCGACGGCCTCGCTGAGAAGAGCCTCCACGTTCCCCTTAATGGCTGGGCTGAAAGAGAGGGAAGCCTTGGACAAATAATATGTTAGAACCCCCCCGCGCAGCGCACAGCGCCCGCTGCAATGTGGAGAGCTCGCTGGAATCACCCGCTGAAGAACCCCCCGGCGCTGGCAGCCTCGAGCGAAATCCCGCTCGAACTCACCTCCACCGCTAGATAACAGAACTTCGGGCAGACCAGAAGGCATGGCCCAGAGCTGAAGGAATGCGCGCCAGGTCGTGAGGGCCGTATCATTGGCCAGCAGACACGCATGCTGTCAGTTGGTTCCGTTGTATATAACGTTCAAGACTGACGCGAGTACCCCATCCACCTCCACACCGAAAAGGCCGACTGCCACAAGCCCATTGAACTCGTAAGTCCTGGAAAGATGGGAGCGGCGGCGCCAGCGCGCGCGAGAATGAGACGCGCATGCTTGACACGCAAACTCACTCTTGGTCCATTCTAGCACCGCAGGCCGGGCCTTCGCAACTCGAAGCGTTCTCAGAAAGTCCTCAAGAGGAGGGTGACCTAGGTTCACGCGGAGACGAAGGATTTCCTCCTGCAACGCCCGTTCCAACGTCCTCGGTGCCTCCTAGCTCGCAAGGGTTCCTATTGGCCCTGGGAGAGGGCCTGGAAATCCTTCGGGGGCCTCTTCCTCAAGGTCTCCTAGATCAGTCTCTTCGGAAATCGATCCGAGAGCTCGAGGGCGAGACCGCAAATGAGAGGCGATAGTATGATGGCTCACGGGAATCATCCTCGGGCCCGGCCATCTCATTCAGAGCTGCAGAGGAATTGGCGCCAGCGAAGTGGTGGCGCCACGCTGTTCGCTCGATGCCCATGGCCATGGAGGCGACGAGCTCGCCAGGGCACATCTCGGACCTGCTTGTCTAGCGCCCCCCCATCCAGCGGCGACTGGACGTGCCCCCCCGAGCACCGACGAGCGCATTCCCTTAGGAACGTACATGAGTTGCCGACGAGCCCGGCGCGTTTTCGCGAGACACGGGAGAAACAGACAGCAAAAACTCGCGCCGATTAGTCACGACGGCCGTGACTCCATCTAACCCTAGGAGGTCCTGGGCGCCCCAAAGTTCCCGGGAACTGGCCCCCGCGGGGTGCTCTACAACAAAATACAGCCCACGCTCCACTTGATGGCGCGCTATCTGCGCGCAGAGACTAATGCGCCCCAGTTCTCGCCGTTCGACCTCAGTCTGAGCTCCCGGGCCCATCCGTCTCCAAGAAGGGGCACTGGCCTGACTAGAAGCCTTGCGCTCCGGAGGCAGGAGTATGGAATGGAAGGAGTCCCTCTCTATGGTTTCCCAAAGGTCCCTCTGGCCCGTGGGCGCCGTAACATCCGCGCTGGCGAGGAGGTCGATGGCGCGGGAGACGCGACGGCCTTGGTAGGCCAACTCCTAAGAGATCCGAGGCGGGCAGAATACCTCTAGACCGAGGGAGACCGCCGGGCTCGCTCGGCTTCAAGGAGCTAACTTCGACGTCGCTCCCGGGGGGATCTAAGGCCCTGGCCCTCTAGGAGCCGCTCCGCGGCCTCGCGGACATCCCGGGGCACGCCGGGCGGCCCCCATCGCCTGGGCCCAGCGCCTCCTAAGGCTGCGGCCGCGAAGCGGTCCTCGATGATGTAGTGGCACTCGAGCTCGCCAACCCCAGACTCGCCCCTCGCCCCCACCTCGGCGGCGGCCCCGCCTTTCCGACTGCGCCCCTCGGGAAGGAACGGGGGGGGAGAGATAGAGAGAGAGAGAGAGAGAGAGAGAGAGAGAGAGAGAGAGAGAATAAAAAAATGTTGGAAAAAAAGAAACAACAAAGAAGCGTTTATATACAGCTTGTTTTCTATATATATATATATACATACATACATACATACATACATACATACATACATACACATATCAAGAAAGAGATGGAAAAAAAGGATAATAAGAATAAGAAGAAAACAACAAAAGAAAGAGAGAGAGAGAGAGAGCGAGAGAGAGATATATCTATATATATATATACGCATACATACATTTATAGAGAGAGAGAAAGAAAATGAGAGAGAGGGAGAGAAAGATATATAGATATATAGATAGAGAGAGAGAGAAAGAGAAAGAGAGAGAGAGAGAGAGAGAGAGAGAGAGAGAGAGAGAGAGAGAGAGAGAGAGAGAGAGAGAGCCCGTTCCCCTCGCGAGACCCCTCGGGCCCGCAGAGAACCACGCCCGAATGTAAACTTCCCCGCTGGGAACGCCACGTCTAGCTCGCCTGGGGCCGAGCCCCTGGTGTTCTTCTGACACTTTGCTCGAGCGCCGCTGGCTCATGACGTCTTGGCGGGCATGCGAAGTGACCCCTGGCCACGGTGAGTTGAAAAGACCCCCCGCCCCCCCATCTGACGCCACCGCTTCGACCCATCTCACTTCCCTGGGGAACAAGGCGGAGGGGGGGGGGGGCTCCACGGGCGCCCATGGCGAGAGCGACAAAGAACGAGGCACGCCCCTGACCCGCAAAAGTTCGCACGGACCATTCTGGCCTAGACTCGAGATCCGAGGACTTCAGAAAATGCCTGTGCCGAGTCGCAGATTCCATGAACCGGATTGACCTCCAAGAGTGCCGCGCGAGATTTCAAGCGTCTGCGCCAGACGCTCACGCTCCGCAGAAAAACCGCGCCCTCTGAGATGTCCCCACCCATGGTTCCTGACCAGCCGCCGAGCTTCTGAATTCGACCAGGCTCACCTGTCGCTCGCCAGCTAGATCCCTGGACTCCGCCAGTTCCGAGGAAGCCCCCGACCCGTTCGACGGGGTAGCTGCCTGGCCTGCCCGCTGCATCACCTTGACCATGGTGGAGGCCAGCTTGACCATGGTGGAGGCCGGGCGCCCCCTGTCGTCGTCGCTCATAGCAGGGCGGTTGATCATCTCGCTCATGATCTGGAACTCGCGCTCGTTCATCCAGCGCTGCGGCAGAGCCGCGCCCGTCATGTCGGAGGGGGCCTGCGCCCCCTCGAGGCGGCCCATGGGCCTCGTGCTTGCTTGGGGGAGACGTCGCGGGGATCGCCGTCACCAGCGGGGAAGCTCCATGGATGTGGCCGCGCTGGTAGATCGTGGGCGCCGCCTTGATGGGAACGCAGCCGCCCTTCGGGCGCCCGCGCAAGTGCGCCGGCGCCTGGGTCGACAGCTCCGAGATGGGGTCGAGCCCGTGATTCGGCGGCGGCGACTGCATTATGGGACGAGGCGCCCGCGACCCCCCTTGCACCATGTCCTTCTCGTGCTGCTTGACCTGATGCGCCACCATCTGCTTGACCTCCTCGCGCATCTGTGCCGACTTGGTCTTCGCCATCCGACGGGTGGCCTCTCCGGCTTTCTCCTCCTCGGTCTTCTCGCAGCAGGCGGTCCTGACGTTGCAGAGCCGGCAGAACGTGTAGGTCGCGCGCACGTTGGCCCCCGACAGCTGCATCCAGGGAGGATGGGGGCTGTTGCCCGCGTTCTCGTCCACTTGCTGCAACGCATACTCGCTCTTCCCCTTTGGGTCGAGAATCTCGTCCGACCTGAGGCTCGCATCATGCTCTCGCGACACCTGCTCGATCTGAGTCGACTTTGAAGGGGGCTCGAATCGAGGTTTGAGCCGAGAGAGCCCCGGACCGCTGAGAGTTGCGCCCATTGCCCCGCCGCCGGCCCGGTCGCCTCAGCATCTCCGGAGCTCCAGGGCCCCGGGAACGGAGGAGGGAGGGGGGAGAGACAAGACTGATCTAAGTGGACAGCAAGCGCGTCCGCCGCCCCCGCGCCCCCCCCCCCCCACTGCCCCCTCCCCGGGCGTCCTTGGCGACCGGGAAGCATGAGCTTGGCAGCGACTCTCGCATCTGATCGGAGACCTCGAAGTCCTACGAGCTGGAGCTGGAGCGCGCGCGGCTAATGGACCTGCGCCCTGCCCCACGTCGACGCATCGGTCGTGCGACTCGGTTTCCACAATCGTCAGCCTCCAGCGCGCTAGATCCCAGGTCGAGTTTCGCCCCAATGAGCTCCAAAAAACGGGCGGGTAGGAACGGTGGGCAGCGCTGCCCCAGAATCACACACTCCACGAACCCGCACCTGGCGAGAGACACCCGCACCCATGCTCGACCTACTGGTTCAGCGCGGCCCCCAATTCCAGCGGCCGTCTGATTCCGAACTCCCCCGAGCTCGAAGTGCACATGACACCCCTTCTTGGCAAAGGAATCGATGAGGATGTCTAGATCTTCTCTGCCGGTCAACCTTTGCCCTGCCGCTGTGTCCACTAGCGCATGGTCCTTCATGAATTTCAGTGAAAGAGCAGAAGAATGTCCTCTGGCTCCATGAATGATGCCCGCCCACTCGATGCCGCTCGACGTCCAGAAAAGCAGGTCGACCAACACTTTGCCTTGCCCTCGAACAGGGGAAATGGCGAGGGCTCTGCACTGTCCGGCGCACAAAAAAAACGTCTCCTCCTGTCCCGAGACTGATGTCCATTCCTCTGCTGCAATGCGCTCTCCTTTGGATCCAAACGGCTTGCGACAGTTCTCGGCCGAGCAACCCTTGTCGCCACAGTTGGCGCATCTAGGACGACGCTTGAGGTCGTCCGAAGTTAGTCTCTTACAGCCAGGGCGGGAAGCACGCTTTTTATGTAAGAAAACTCTCCCGATGCGCTTGCTTTCCTTCGTCTGCCTCGCCTCGGCCCACGCTTGTCGTTTTTCCTTATCCACTTTCTCCTCTATCCCTGCCGCCAGCACAGTCATCAGCCCGTCTTCTAGTAGCTCTTGTTTCCCATGGTGGTCTGGAAAGCGCCAGCCTCATCTTCTAATAGCCCGAAGGATCGGGAGGGTCCGCAACGTATGATGCCACGTCTATCCACTGCTGACCTGCACCTGACGACGACTGCGCCTGCTGCTTGGTCGGTGACGATATGGCCATCTCCTCTGCGTCTGCTACCTGCGTGTCTCTGCGCAGAACGTAGTCCGTCAACCACTCTCCCCTGCGGCCCCCTCAGCTTGCCGTCTCTTATCTCCTGGTCGTTCTCCATTGAGGACTCCTAGGAGTTCCATAATCGTCATCACGTCCTCGTCGTTGACTAGCTGTCTCCTCAATGATTTGAGTTTCACTTGAATGTCTACTGGCAGCGACTCGAGTATCTTTCCTGCTCTCTGAAACGGGGGACAGCCCGTTCTCAAGGCCCACTGACGAAAATTCATGCGATACAGCTCCAAGCTTTCGAATCCAAGCCAGGTCGGAGGCGGACCGTGGTCTCGACTCTGCTGAGGTCTTCCCGAGACGGCCCATGCGTATCCACTCCAGTCATTCACATGCTGTTCTGTGCCGTTCCACATGTTGCCACCGTCATACCAAGGTCCCGAGAGCCACCATGACTAATGCCAACAGCAGTGCTGCCATTCCTCCTGAATGTCGATGCTGTTTCCTGTTCTGCTGGTTTTTGCTCTGCACCCGTGGCCGTGTCTGTTGCCTGATCCCTCGACTCTCCACCATGTAACACTGCGGCTACCACTGTCACAATATCGGACGGCATACTCGGAGACGGTTGGCGAAAGGAGGATCTTTCATACAGTAACGCGGCACGCGGTGAGAGCACATCTCTAAGCCAAAGGCTACGGAGGTCACGAGCGGGGCCGAAGAGGGAGACAGAGTGGGGACCCACGAGGGCTCCATGGGACCACGGGGGACAGCATCATCATCAGCATCATCATAAGCATCATCATTATCAGCATCATCATTATCCTCCTCCTCCTCATCATCATCATCAGTATCAGCATCATCATCACCACCATCATCCATCATCATCATCACCACCACCATCACCACCACCACCACCACCACCATCATCATCATCATCATCATCATCATCATCATCATCATCATCATCATCATCATCATCATCATCATCATCATCATCATCATCATCATCATCATCATCATCGTCACCGTCACCGTCACCGTCATCGTCCATCGTCATCGCCATCGTCGCCACTGTTCATCGCCAGTTCGGCTCAGTCCATGTTGGCTCAAGCTCTGGATCGAGAAATTTTGCGGCACGCCGGCCTTCTCCTCCCCCTCTTCCTCCTCCTCCTCTCCTCCTCCTCCTCCTCCTCCTCCTCCTCCTCCTCCTCCTCCTCCTCCTCCTCCTCCTCCTCCTCCTCCTCCTCCTCCTCCTCCTCCTCCTCCTAGCGCGAGGATCTCGCGCTAGGACCAGCGCCCCGCATGGGATGCAGCGCGACTCGGGCGGCGGCCGATCCTGGCTGCCCTCGGCGATCTCTCGCGCCGAGCGCTCCGCGGCGCGTGCGCGGGCCGTGCGGGCCGCCGACGCCGGCGTGGCGGAGCCACGGAGGAGGAGGAGGGGGAGAGAAGGAGGAGGAGGAGGGGGAGATATGGAGGAGGAGGAGGAGGAGGAGGAGGAGGAGGGGGAGGAGGAGGAGGAGGAGGAGGAGGAGGAGGAGGAGGAGGAGGAGGAGGAGGAGGAGGAGGAGGAGGAGGAGGAGGAGGAGGAGGAGGAGGAGGGGGAGGAGGAGGGGGAGGAAGAAAAGTACGCGGCCGGCCATGTCCCAGCGCTGCGACGCGCTGGCGGCCGCGCTGCGACGCGGAGCGGCGGGCGCAGGGAACGGCCGCCGCCCTGGGCGCTCGCGCGGCGGCCGAGGCGATGGCCGCGGCGAGCCTCGGGCAGCCGGCGCTGCTGGTGCCGACCTTCCCGAGCTGGCCAGGAGCGGCCGCCTCGGGAATGAGCGAGCGCGTGCCGCTCCAGTCCTCGGCGCGGCCCTTCGCGCCCGACACGCTCGTCGAGCAGCTCGGAGCGGGGATGGTGGTGCGCATCGGCGAGGGCCCGGAGGACGTCGAGGAGGGCGTGGTCGCTGCGCCCGCCACGCAGGCGCCCGTCATCGCCGCGGAGTCCGTCGTGGAGCAAGCCCTGGAGCACGCAACGGCCGTTGAGGCCGCCGAGGAACCGCCCTCCATGGCCTTGGCGCTCGACGTGGACACCGCCGTGGAGCTGCCCCTCGCGGCGGACATCCCCGTGCCGAAGGGGGACGAGGCGGAGCTCGTCGCGGAGCCACCCGTCACGGGTGCGGGCGCCCTGGTCGTGGAGCTCGTCGTGGAGGCGCTCGTGCTGGCCGTGGCACCAGCATGGCCGTGGAGCTCGTCGCGGAGCAGGCCCTGGCGCACGCCCTCGCCGTGAAGCTCGTGGAGCTCTTCGCAGGGCCGCCCGTCATGGAGCTGAAGCTCGTCGTTGTGGAGCTCGTCGTCGTGGAGCTCGTCATGGAGCTGGAGCTCGTCATGGAGCCGTAGATCGTCGCCATGGAGCTGGAGCTCGTCGTCGTGGAGCCGCTCGTCATGGGGCTGGACCTCCTGGATCGTGGATCGAGTCGTGGCCGTGGCATCCTTCGCGAAGGCGCCCGCCACGGCTCGTGGTGTCAGCGAAGCTGTTTCTCAGGACGCCCCCCGTGGTCACGGAGGCGGTGAAGCTCTTTCGGATGATTTTGTCGGGCCCCAGCGGGGCCTGCTCGGCCGTCGTCACAAGAGAAGTGTGAAAACAAAAGGGCCACAAGATCTGGGAGATATCGAGGTCCCCGCCATGATCTCCCTCCTCCTCCTCCTCCTCCTCCTCCTCCTCCTCCTCCTCCTCCTCCTCCTCCTCCTCCTCCTCTTTCGGACGCTCTTTCGGATGCCGTGCGTGCCGAGCGCGCGAGCGCTGCTGCTGGCGGACCCGTGGGAGGCGATCGCCGAGCTCGGGGGCCGCGTGCGGCGGCGTGTCGGCAGGCCCACCCCGACGCGGCCACCACGACCGCGGCCGAGCATTGGCGGCGAGGCCGCCCATGCTCGAGGCCGCGGCGGCAACACCCGGCGCACTGCCGCCAGGCGGAGGCACGGCTGGAGGGCGAGCTCGGCGGGAGGCCGGGCAGCCCGACGAGGCCGACGGCGGCGGCGGCGGAACCAGCGGCGATCCTCGGGACGCACCCGCGCCGAGGCGGACAGCCACGCGGCTCGACGCGGCCGACGCTGGCGGCGGGGCGCTGGCCAGGCTGAGCCGCCCGAGCCAATTTCACGCCTTGCGAGCCGTGGGCCTGCCCGCCTTGCGACCCGCTGGACGCGGCTCGACAACCTCGGCCGACGGCCCCAAGGCGGCCGTCGGCGGTCCTCCGTCGGGGTCTGTGGGCCCTCACGTCCGCCGAGCCCGCGAGGGCTCGGGCGGAAGGGATGGGCCTGACTGCGATGCTCCTGGTGCCCTCAGACTCCAGGAGTCGTCTCGGTCGTGCACGAAGTTCGAACCAGCACAGCTGGTGGGCCCTGCTCCCGACCCCTGTCCGCTTGAACCCGTTCATCATCATCATCATCATCATCATCATCATCATCATCATCATCATCATCATCATCATCATCATCATCATCATCATCATCATCATGATCATCATCATCATCATCATCATCATCATCATCATCATCATCATCAGCATCATCATCATCATCATCATCATCATCATCATCATCATCATCATCATTATCAGTATCATCAGTTTCGTCGTTACCAGAATCATCATCAGCACCATCATCGTCATCAGCATCATCATCATCATCATCATCATCATCATCATCATCATCATCATCATCATCATCGTTTTCATCATGATCATCATCATCATCATCATCATCATCAGTCAAAGCATCAGCATCATCGCCAGGATCATCATCATCAGCAGCAGAAGCAGCAGCATCAGCATCAGCATCATCATCAGCATCTGAATCCTCCTCCTCATCATCATTACCATCGTCATCATCATCACCACCACCATCATCATCATCATCATCATAATCATGATCAGCATCAGCATCACCATCATCATTAGCAGCAGAAGCAGCAGCATCATCAGCATCTGCATCATCATCATCAGCAGCATCAGCATCTGCATCCTCCTCCTCATCATCATCATGATCCTCATCATCAGCATCATCATCATTATCATCATCATCACCAACACCTCCCCCACCACCATCATGATCATCATCATCATCATCATCATCATCATCAGCAGCATCAACTCCATCGTCATCGTCATCGTCATCGTCATCACTATCGACATCATCATCATCATCGTCACCATGGTCGTCACCATCATCATCATCATCAGCATCATCACCACTACCATCATCATCATCATCATCATCATCATCATCATCATCATCATCATCACTGTCAGCGTCGTCATATCAGGAACAGCATCACCACCTCCGACCCATCACCATCACCATCACCATCACAATCAAAATCACCATCACCACCACCATCATAATCATCAGCAGCAGCATTGTCATCATCTTCACCAGCATGTTCATCATCATCACCGTCATCAGCATCATCATCATTGCCCTCACCACCATGGATATCACCACCCTCGTCATTGTGATCGTCATCGTCGCCATCACCATGATAATCATGATCACCACCATCATCACCATCACCATCACCATCATAATCATCATCACGATGCTCATCATCAGAATCAGCATCATCATTATCGTCGGCATCGCCGTCATTATTGTCATCAACATCACCATCATCATCTTCAACAGCATCACCAGAAGCAACAGCGTCATCGTCAACACAATCACAATCATCATCAGCCTCATCATCACCATTAGCAGCATCAGCATCATCATCGTCAGCAGCAGCATCAGCATCAACATCAGCATCCTCCTCCTGGTCATCAGCAGCGTCATCATCATCATCATCATCATCAGCAGCATCATCACCGTCATCGTCATCGTCATCGTCACCCTCCTGGTTCAAGAAAATCAGCATCATAACAAGCATCATCGTCGTCGGCATCGTCATCACTACCTTCATCGTCATCGTCATCAACATCATCATCAGCAGCAGTATCATCATCAACACCATCACCACCACCATCATCATCATCATCAGCATCACCACCATCATCATCATCATCAACATAACCACCGTCACCATCACCGTCGACATCCTCATCATCAGCATCACCATCATCATCACCATCACCACCGTCATCACCATCACCACAATCATCAGCAGCAGCATCATCATCATCATCACTATCATCATCATCATCATCATCATCATCATCATCATCATCAGCATAATCATCATCATCATCATCATTATCATCATCATCAGCATCATCATTATCAGTATCATCAGTTTCGTCGTTACCAGAATCCTCATCAGCACCATCATCGTCATCGTCATCGTCATCAACATCACCAGCACCATCATCAGCATCGTCGACATCATCACCAGCGTCATCATCATCAGCATCAGCATCATGATCATCATGATCATCATCATCATCATCATCATCATCATCATCATCATCAGCCTCATCATGATCATCATCACCGTTACCAGCATCAACAGCATCATGATCACCGTCATAATCACCAGCCTCATTATCATAATCAGCATCACCATCATCAGCAGTGTTGTCATCATCATCCTCGTCAGCATCGTCAAAAAAATCGTCATCATCACCATCAGTATCATCAGCATCATCATCATAATCATCAGCATATTCGTCATCATCGCCACAATCATCATCATCATCATCATCGTCATCATCATCATCATAACCATCATCGTCATTAGCACCATCATTATCAGCAGCATCACCACCTCCATCATCATCATCAGCGTCGTGAATATCAGCAGCAACATCATCATCATCATCATCGTCATCATCAGCATCATCATCATCATCCGCATCCCCATGATAATCAGCATAAGCATCATCATTGTCATAATCATCATCATCACCATCATCATCATCATCATCATCACCATCATCATCATCATCATCATCATCATCATCATATCATCTTCATCTTAATCATCATCATCGTCATCGTCGTCGCAATCGCCATCCTGATCATCATCAACAGCGTCATCATCAAAACCAACATCATCACCATCATCATCAGAAACATCGTTTCTCCCAGAGCTGCCTCTCTCCCTCCTCATCTCCCTCTCCCTCCTCGTCCTCCTCGTCATCACCACCTCCACCACCTCCACCACCACCAGCTCACAACACTGCAATAAGCACCATCATCACCACTACCACAATCACCATTACCATCATCAGCATCACCATCACCGAGATAAGCGCCATCATCACCATCACCATCAGCAGCGTCATCATCATCGTCATCATCGTCATCGTCACCACCAGAATAAGGATAATGGTAAAAATGATAAGCATCACCATCATCATGATCAGCATGATCATCATCAGCATCATCAGCATCATCATCCCGCTCCCAATCCCTATCCACCTCTTTCTGCTCCGCATCATCCTCGTCTGCAATATCCTTCTCGTCCTCATCCGCATCCGTTTACTCCTCCCTCCCTCCCCTCCTTCTCTCTACTCCTCCTGGGCCTCCTCCTCCTCCTCCATCCGCTTCCTTGGAAATAACCTCTCCTCGTCGCAGCGCCAGACGTACAGGCAGACGTCGGGCGTGTCGCCTAAGACTCTCTCACCACTCGTGGCGGCCCTGATGCCAGACATGTCCAACAGTTACTCGGATTGAAGGCGGAGCCATTTCTCAAAACGTGGATCCCGCCTCAGGGCCGCCCACATTCGCCCTACAAGCTTTCACCGCCACGTTGCTTAAGGCGAAAGCGTGTTGATAATTGCGGATATCGCTATAGCGCTGCGCAAGTTCTTCGCAAAAGCTAGGGTAAACAATAGCACTGGAAGGACGGAGGGAATCAAAATGTGGCTCTCGCCTTAGCGCCGCGCACGTTCACCTTAGAGGCGTTCAACACCTACAACGATGGAGGGCGATTACTTTTCGAAACTGGGCTCAAGCTTGAGTAGACTTGAAAGGTGTATGGCCAGTCGGCTGAAAGTGTGCAACAACTTCACGGATGGAGATGGCGGCTCCGCCGTCGCTCCCATCTCGTTCCAATCCACGGCCTCATCCGCATCCCCAGCCTCCCCCTCATCCCCATCCCCACCCACATCCCCATCTCCATCATTTTACCCATACCACCATCCTGATCCCCATCCCAGTGAACCCTGGCGTGAGAATAGACTTGGCTAGAAGGAGCAGCAACCGAGTCAAGATTGAGATCGGCTTTCAGAGTGATGGGGATATGCTTCGGTGTCATGCCTGGAAGCTTCACAGCATTATCTTCCAGGATTAGGCCAATGTGGAGACCTCACGCGTCCGAGGAGCGACTCCACTACAACGCGATGGGAGCGAGATGCGACCGGCACCTGTTTTGCTAGAGCCACGCGTCCGCAAAGAGATGCCGTGAT